CAATTAAAACATGGGTGTGTTATCAGCACCGCTTTCATCATTCATGGCCAGTTGGGGTCGTCTGTCCTGCTTCTGTCCCCTCCCAGCTCCTGCTGCACCCCCAGCCTCCTTGCTTGCAGGACAGTGTGAGGAGATGGAAAATTCTTGGCTTAATGTAAGCACTGCTCTGCAACAATAAAAACATGGGTGTGTTATCAGCACCACTTTCATCAAAAATCTCAAAGATAACATTATACCAGCTACTATGAAGAAAATTATCTGTCCTAACCAAACCAGGACAGGAGGCTTTTGCTTTCATAATGCAGGTGGGTGTCAGCAAAATGAATAAATTTCCCCCTGTTGCCACACTGCTCTACTGCTGGAAACTTTGATAAATGATGCTGAGCCTTGTGTACAATGCTTTTGATCAGTGAAGAACTTCATACATCATATTCTTATTCTAGGTGACTCCAGGGCAGCTTTCTCACTTAACTAATCTGCTGTCATTTTTTCTATATTTGCACATTTCATAAGTGATTTTGTACTGTATATATTAAATAAATACCTTTTCTCATCACCGACAATAATGGACTTACAAATAGAACTTGAATTTTTGCACCAAAATTTTAAATAATTTTTATTCTTGAGCCAAACAGAAATCTAAATAAACCCCAGAAATCGTTAGGTTAATATGGATTCTAAAATATACTAGAGGTATGTACCCTTTCATGAAGGATTATCAAATCAAAAAATGCGTGTTGGAAAATTTAGAACTTCTTGTCTGACTGTATTCTTTCTGCAATATGTAAATTTCAGTGAAAATTTTCCTTGAATGTTGGGATAGTCCAAATTCTGACACATGCAGCCATTTAAATGTAAGTGAGTATAGCAGCTTTACTCAGCCTTCACTTCTACTCAGCAAAAAGTTGGGAGCCTGTTTGCTTCTGCCAGGCCTGCTGGGTGCTGCAGTCTGCCTTGTGCTGGGGGATGGTGGCAGCGTTTTGTTGCTGTTGGCAAGATGGGAGACTTTCAGATCAGAAGTGCTGAAGAATTAGGGAAATGTGTTAACAGGTGATAACAACAGATGAAGAATGTCACGAGTATTCTAAAATTATATATAGATAAATGACATACACATATACAGTATATCTATACCTATTGGTATCTATATTTCGGTCTGTATGTACCAATAGTATAAATAGACATATTTACGTAATAAGTAAGTATATATTCAAAAACACTGACCCTAATAGAGGTAGCTATAATATACACATATAAGAGATAGTTACCTGTTAGTTATCTGATAGTTATCTGTCTATACAAATATAACAGATATTTATCTATAAAGTGTGTTTAGAATTGATAGCTAAGTATTTTGGTGTGGTTTTGTAATTCCAAGGTTAAACTTTCTACAAAGATTTAAATATTGTGAAATTGATTTCCATAGATTTTTTTAGCCATTGCTCATCATGTTAGCATCTTGGGATTCTGTATATCCCTATCTTCAGCTGTAAAATAGATTAGCTTCCCAACTGTCTTTTGAATTCCACCTTTTTTCGTTGTGTTTTCTCCTTACATTTTGAGAAGCAACTTGCACTTTGTTTTAAAAAGAATGCCACCAAGCAGACAAAAAACAACCACAAATTTTGGGCAGTAAGACAACAGCTACAGAAACTGCATCAATATAAAGCCTACTCTGTCCTATGGGAAGGTTGTGCTATGGTGTGGCATCTTCTAATTGCAGGCTGGTGTGGAAGTGTAATCCGTAGATGGGATTGAGAGAGTCACACAAACCAGTGAGTCCCCTGTGTATAATCTCTTATTAGTCTGTACTATCCACAGTAGAGTTTGGGCTGGCTAAGCTGATCAAGGGTCTTTTTTTTCTAGTTTTTCTGAAGTTAGTGGGGTGGGTTTTTACACAGTGAAGTTTATTCCAAAGCCAGCATAAGTGGAAGCTAGTCCTAACCCTAGCAACTAAGTGCCTCGTAATTTGCCAACAATACTAGTTTTTCCATCTGTTTCAGGAATCCTATCTTGTGGAGATAGTTAACAAACATGTTTTGTTGTTAACATACGATATATTAATTTCTATATGTATGAGAATTAGCTTGTAAACATGAAAAAACATGTTTTTTTTTTTTTTTTTAAATGAGTCTTGTATTCATAGGTGAGGCCTTCCCATCCTGATTCACATATGCAATAACTTTAAAAAATACAAACTTTTGTTATAGTTGGAATAAAGCAAACCTTTGAGAAAAAAAAAAAAAAATCATATAATGAAAATAACCAATGGACTGTGGTTTAAAAAACATACTTGGAGGTAAAATCCTGATAATGTTTTTATTCTACCCAATTCTAAGAATTCTACCTGATTCTGAGAATTCTATCCAACATGCTAAATAAGCACGTTAGATTTGTCAGTTCTTGGATAACTTGGATACTACCCATCTTCTTTTAGAACCATTAAGCTATTGAACAGACAATACCAATATTAATTAAAATGGTTGCTTAAGCCTATGCAGTCTTCTTCAAGGTTTCTCCTTTAGCTGAATTTTGATAGTTTTATATTCCAAATGCTTTTATTTTAAAAGTCACTGGAGCAAACAATACTCTCCTGTAGTTCTGTTACATTCCTTATACTTTCACTAATTAGTCCCATTTCTATATCTTAAATAGATAAATAAATAAACTCTGTCTTCTTTGGCAGACAGGTTAAACTAGTTTCTCAAACAGGCATTTTGGACAATAGATATAGAAAATAACTTTATAAAACAAACGCAGTGCAGTATCTAGAAGTATTTTTGCTTGTTTGGGGGTGTCTGATATCCTATCCAAAGCCTAATTTTGCTTGCCTTTCTGTCCTCTAAAATCTTCCAATATGAACAAGCATCATGAAGGACTAATACACAAATACTAGCTGGTTTCAGAATGTGAATTAGCTCTTGTAAAAGTGAGGAGACTTTTGAAAACTCAAAAGGGGATACTTTTAAGAGGAGGAATGCCCAGGTCTTTACTGAGGAAGAGTAGCAGGGCATTTGTGGGCAAGAAGGCAGCCTAATCCCTCACCTCATGCTGACAATTTGAACACTAAGCTTCCTCAAAAAGCCCTGTCAGAGTGATTGGGGCACCACCTTCTTTAATGAACATATATCCTCCTAGTGTCAGTATTTCAGTGCTTTTCCAAACTAAGCATCACCTTCCTGTGTGACTTCGGGTGCACTATGGTGCATCCACTTAAGTGAGATGGATGGTGTGATGATGTGTGTCTACCAGACATGATTCTCCCTAGAGGCATTTGACTCTTTCCCTTCTAGGGAGATGGACAGAGCTCCGGAAATTCTGCCAATTTAGGAGTCTATTGCAACATAAGGGGAGGTATCTGGTTCTTTGGGAAAACAAAATATACAGCCCCTGTACAGAGATGCCAAATATTCCCCAGTTTTGGTAACTTTATTGCTGGCTCTGCTTCTGTTCCCATGGAAATGTGCAGGGGCTTGCCACAAACATGGTCTTACTTGCAAGTAGCTGTGGGTTATGAAGGAGAACCTACAGATGCACTGGATTAGCAAAGACTTGGTGTTTAGTTTTATTACCCAAATACTAGCTTTGAGCTAAATCCAAGTCTTAGTGGAGTCTGCTCCAGTACTTAACTCTAAGTTCCTACCTTAAAATTTGTACATTGTTCTAATATTTTATTTTATCCAATATCAGGTATCAACATAAATTGTTGTCTGTTTCTGTTTTTGAGTGGTGGTCCTGTGTAAGGTATTAGTCAGCCTTAGAAATAATTAAAATGCCAGTACTCTTAAGTGCACTACCAGAGAACACTGGTCTGATTTATCATGCTTATATACCTTGAATACTCTGCTACATCAAATAAAAAGCAGACCTTTCCAAAAAGAGGATTATGAAAGAAGAAATAGCAGAGGGGGAAGTAGGTAAATAAGAAAACTCTGTAAAATAGTGGAAAAAAAACCTGTGTCCACCCTGTTGCGTTAAGGGGTATAGCCAATTAACTGTTACGGATCCGGTCAGAGTCAGGGTAATGAACTATCACAGTCACAGATTCACCGAAAACCCATTAACCAATATGTGTCTGGTGGGATTCAGAGCACTGAACAACCACGGTCACAGATTCACCAATAACTTATAACTGCCCTTACTCTAGTCGTGTTCAATGAGAACTATCATGGCTAGGAACAATGCAGTTAAGTGCAATTTATTACAGGAACAGGTACACAGGTTCTTTGGATTGCTGGTGATAGTTACTGTCTGCAAAAGCAAGCTAGCATGCATGAAATACACAGGTGCACAGCCTTGAAATTAATACATTAAAAGGCACAAAGACTCTACAGAGATTTCTAAGTTTCTGTGGAGACACATAGTATAATCAAGTGTTCAGATCACACCAGGAGGTGTCCAATGGGGGGGAAGAGAGGCTCAGTCCATCGACTGATCCCAGGGGTCAGGAGGACCTCAGGATTGTGTCTCCCCTGACAGTGGTATCTTCCCTGACATCCCCTCTCTCTTAGGCCAATTTATATTATTTTCTATCTTTTAGGTGGAGCTCAGGTAATGCAGCTACACCCTACCATAAAAGCCTCTTCAATGTTGTACATTTTCTTTAAAATGTGAACGTTAGTTTTATTTTCCTACTTTAGGCAATTTCACCACACAACCTTGCTACACAGTCATCTCTGCTTTTCTGTTTTTCCACTTTTATGGTCATCACAGGACAATAGAGGATAAGGCACATTGTGGATACTGGTGAGATGTTTTCCTAAATTCAGAGCAAAAAGGTTAAGTGATTTGCCCAGTTCCACAAAGTAAGGGTTGGAAAATTAGATAAATTGTAGCGTTTCAGGTTACCACACATGTATCCTGCTCACTACAACAGTTTTCCAAGTTTCATTAAATATTTTCTTAGCAGATGGAATAGACAAAACTCAAAAAACTATTTTTTCAATTGCTTGATGAGTATTGTTAAAACAAAAAGGAAGTAAAATTGTTTTCCTTTGCAGGATTTTGAGCTAAATAATGAACTGAAAATGAATGTGTTAAATTTGCTGGAAGAAGTTTTAAGAGACCCCGACCTTCTACCACAAGAAAGGAAGGCTACTGCAAATATACTGAGGTAAATATGTTTCTAAATAGTCTGTCTATGTGTGGTATGTGAAAGAGATAGGAGAACATGTATCATAGAATTCACAGGGCTTTTCTTCAGATTATTTGATTTTGAAGGATTGTTAAGTTTTTTATTAGCTGTTAAGACAGACCAACTTTGAAGCACTTCATCCAGCAGCAAAATATAGCACATTTTCAGGTTAATTTGTAGTGATTACAGCTAAGTATACAGTAAAAATTGCACAATAGGAACTAAAGAATAATTAACAAAAAATTTGGATGTCTTCAAAATGGATTAAGGAAAACTTAGCTATGTCTGTTATTTGGAATATTTTAAAATTCCCTTGTAACTTTTTTAGTCTGGACAACCATCAAGTGTCAGAGCATGTTTTAAGTTTCATTCAGAAAATTCTCTTAAAAAAAATCTAACAGCCATTGGCTCAGTGTTTATGTGGTAGGGAAAAAATGCTGCCCAATAAAGCAACAAGACTATTCACTATAATATCGTGAAGAACTCCTATCTTAGCAATGAGCACTTCATGCTGCTAAGCTCTTGAGAGGCTGTTGATAGTCTAATGTGCCATGACATAGTCACTAGACCATGCTTGCACTTTCCTTTGTGTTGACAGCTGTGTCTTAACTTCCTTGGGTAGCTTATAGAGAGGAATTATTATGTAATTAGTGCCATGAAATAAAAGATCTTTAAGTTTCCGTATAACCGGAATTATTTACCTTGGGGTTCAAATTCTTTATCACTTAGAGTTGGTGTTACAGAATTGAGTGTCTATTTGTTCCAAAAGTAAAGCCGTACATGCATTTGTCAGTGAAAATAATTCATTCTAGTAAGTGTGAATGTTTTATGGTAACTGATTTCCATGTAAGTTATGCTACATTACTGAAGAAAAATATGCATTTAAAGACCAGGCAGTGCTTAAAACAAGACATGATGAAAAGCACAGATGAAGCTGTGACATGCTTAGTATTTTTGTAAGTATTCTGCTGGAAAGGTAACTAGGGTGCAATAAATGTAATGTGTCTGAATATTCTAGGAACATTTGACAGGTTTCCTCACTGGATGCTCATATGAAAAGGAATGTCAGAATAAGAAGGAGAAGTTGTTCACCTGAGGGGAAAATATCAAATAAAGGATAAGAAAAAAAAAAAAAGCTCTTAATATAAGCAGTTCATGTTAACAGGATCCTACTTAGTTTCTACATAAATAGAAATAAGCCTTTTTGTTAATTATACCGTATGTGCTGTTATTCAAAGTTTATTTTTTTTTAACAAGTTAATGTCACGTATTTTTTTGGAAGAAATAACAAGAAGAACAAAAAAGGACTAGTTATGTTACAGTGTAGTGGGTTTTAGTAATACGTCTGATAGCAAAGTTTCTGTCAAATTGCTCACAGTGGGAAAAGTTAGCCTTAAGACCTTTAGCTTCTTAAGAAAATAAGTCTGAAACAAATGTAGATTGATTGTTTCTTGCACAGTAATAGAACAGATTTATAGGCCTTTAAGCATACAATTTTTTTTACAGTTTTCTCTGTCCAGTTTTGATTTAGTCATTTTCCATTAGGTGTTGCATCAAGAAATGCAACTTTAGTAATTATTTTTAAATTGCAAGCTGCCCCCAGTTACATCCTGTTACTGCTGTTCTATGAAATGTGAGGTATTGTTTTTCATCACTTTGCTTTTAACACTTACTACTATAGTATCTTATCTCACTGTATATGCTAGCGAGCACAGTTAATCTGATATTTCCACTGATACTTCTATTTTAATGAAGACTGAATTTTTGGCAATTCTGAGAATTTTCAAGGGTTTCTTTTGTGAAAAAGAAAAAAGTTAAATTCTTTAAGAAGTAAATATTTTGCAAGTTATTTTTTTTAAACTGAGAAATGTTTAGAAGTAAAAGAAAAAAGGAGTAGAAATCAAAATTTTAGTAAAAATGAAAAATATAGTCACAGATATTGAACTAAAAGTAAACTAATAATTCACTAATTTGAACTATTTTGTAGAACGTATTTGGTTTTTAAGATCCTTCTTTCGTAGCCATTATCCTCACAATATTTCTGGAAATACTTAGGCACTTTACAAGCAGGAAAGTAAAACCAATGACATATTTGAGGTCTCAGTGGGAGTTTCTGTTGGAAAGATAGGTAGAGAATGAAAATTTCTTGAGATAAGACCCTCAACAAAGCCATCTTTGATCAGGGTTTGCAGCTGGACACTGGAATCCTGTCAGACTTTTCAAATAAAGTAGTTTGATTGTAGATTTGGTCATAGAGTTGCAAGTATTTGTTTACATACCAGAAACTTTCGCTAGAAAAAAGAGCCATCGGTGGTTCAGCATGCAGAACTGATCCTTTGGACTCAATGTGGCATGAATGTTGATTTCCTTCAAAATGAGGTATGAAATTCAAGCCTTGGCTAACAGTATTTTTTAGTAGTCCTGCATTACTTTTCAATGATGTTGTTAATGTACATGCAACACTGGTATGTTGAATGTTCCTAAAATAAATAAATAAATAAATAAAAGTTGTTAGTCAAAGTCCAATATACATCAGTGACACAGCGTTGTTGCCTCAAGGGCTCCAAAACCTGCTGTGTTCCATTCTCTGCGGTAACCATGTTTCTGTAGCAGCTGAAGTTTCTCCTGTGTCATACTCTCTGCGCTTTTTATTTGTACAAACTGCTCATAAACTTTCAAATAAAAGTTGTTGCATGAATAAAATTTCAGGTGGAAGCTGTTGCATAAATACAACCTTCATAATGTAAACTGTTAAGCTGTAGTAAATAATACCTGAGGCTGTAATCTTCAAGTTAAAAATGTTAGGACTTAAAAAATACTGCCCCAAAGACAACACTGAGTTAAAAAAATCTAAAGTTCTTGGGTGCTCTCTCCAGCCACACAGGAGTCAGTTGTTTGTCAGACACATTAAATTTGTTAACAGTCATCTGATAAGGAGAAAGTAATTCTCCAGGAATGGAACTGCTTTGGTGACCTTATGAGAAAGACCATAAAGGAGCAATTCTGACTTTGGACGAAAACCATTCAGCCAAGATGAAATACACAGATGTGTCATATATCTCACCCTTTCACTGTTAGGGGGAACTCTGATTATTAAATCACCTCAGCAAAATGGGCTGTATGGTAATTAAGAGTAGTTTCCAAGCTTTTGAAAAGCACTGTAGTTACTCCCAAAGATATGTTCTCAGCAAGGCTATATAGTTAACTGAGAAGAGGAAATTATAGGACTTCAGAAATAATCTGCAATTAAATGGAGTTTTTCATGTGTAACTGTAGATCTGTGGTAATGACGCAGGGGTGCACATTCCTTTACTCTTCCACAAGTCTTCATTTGTATTGAATGTTATTAAAGGAAGAGTATTTATAACATTAAAAACATGATCATGTTGGTAGTCCTAAGCGTGGAGACTGAACACACACTTCTGGCTGCCACTGCAGGCATGACCTCAGGAGCAGTGAGCAGCAAGACAAGACTCCCTGTGATACACTGGCTTCTCAGCTCATTAGTGGATTCACAGGTCGAGCCAACTCCAGACTGTTCTTTTAATACTTAACTTTTTAATATCCCCAAATATAAAATTGAGTAATAGTTTCAGTCAGGAGGGTTTGGCTTTTCTGACAGGTTGAAAATGCCCTTGCTTAATTCTGGAACAGATTTCATGAAGAACGACAAACCAACAGATGAAGAAGAGACAGTATCCACATGCCTGCATCCTATCTGATAATGTAATTGTACGAACCAAGTGGGTACCCAGGCTTTCTATAGTGCCAGATGAACATAGTTTTCTTTGTTTTTACACTGTGCACAAATATATAAGCACTAAAAACAGAGGTACTGTTGGTGCAAAAAGCGGACGCAGTAACACAGAAATGGTTCCTTCTCCTAGCATTACTGTCTGATGCCTTCTGTGGTACCATGTCTGGTTGTCAAAGTAGGTCAAGGGAAGCACTTGGATATTTTTCTCTATTACATGTCTCTGAAGATTACTATTTCTTGTAGTAGGTATAACCAAGACTGTTGAGCTTGAATAAAAATTGCTGAATTTTAAGCAAACGCTCCCATACTGCACTGACACGTTGTAAAGAAGTACTGTGTTGAACACCAGAGTATTTATTTCTCATATTGTCATTATGGGTTTTATCTACATCAGATTACAGATTTTCTATCATCTGCCAACGTGCCATATTATAGTCAATGTTCTGAACATTAAGAGGAGGCCTGTAATGGAAAAAAAAATATTTTATGAGTTCCTTGACCTGTTCATAGGCATAGGTTATACTGACAAGATGAGGGGAAACAGGATTTCCTCTTAGCACTGACTTAAAAAAAATGCTCTGGTGGGACCCATTCTACCTGAAAAACCTAGCTATAAACAAGCTGTAGGCAGCTAATGAAGCACTCCTTCCAAAGTTGTTGAGAGAGATGGTGATTCTTTCCAAAAGTGGTATGAACTTAGGCATGTGGACTTCTCTGGAGATCATGACACCTTGCTTTCTCTGACAATTAGAGGATATAGGCACTGACTTGAGTAGGATCTGAATTCCATGCTAGATGTCTTAAAGATAGGTTATCTAGAGTCTGTCTTGTTTTAGATATTTGTAGAGGTGTTCACAGGTATTGTGTTTCTCTTCTGGCTCAAGTACTAATTTCTGTTTTGGAGAAATGCTTCTTAATCCACCACCGCCACATTACCCTCCATGGAAAGCTGTTACCTGTTTGGTGTTCTTCTAGGTGGAGGGATCTCGACTGACGTTACTTAAAGGAAGAATATAAATTAGAAGAGTTTTTACTGATTTTTTACTGAAGAGTTTTTATTTCAAATCATGAAGGTTTTTGGCATCATATTTTGTATGTGAAAGCATAGATTTGTGAGGACTGAAGGTTTTGATGAAACTTTCATTCAAAAGTCTTCCCTGGGTCAGGATGGAAACATAAAATTGGGGGTGAGCCAGTGAACATACCCCTCATGAAAATAGTAATTCATTCAATGCTAAGTGTGTCATAAAACAGGCTTTTTAGTTGCTCTGAAGAGGTGCTTACTGTCTGCTTTTACACCTGAAGAGTGCTGGCATATCAAAATATGTGTAGCAGTTTGTGTTTGTCAGTCAGCCCTCACTATAGGTCTTTGCTTCCCTGTGTTTCTTTACTCGGAAATGTAGAGGAATTCAGAGTGAAATTAAGAAAAGCTTTTCTTACTGTAAACTCATTGTTCAGATACTTTTAGAGCCTGCATATAAGTATATGCCATGGACTGTGAGGTGGGGGTTGGCCTGTTCTCCCATGTGCCTGGTGACAGGACGAGGGGGAATGGGCTTAAGTTGCACCAGGGGAGTTTTAGGTTAGATGTTAGGAAGAACTTCTTTACTGAAAGGGTTGTTAGGCATTGGAACGGGCTGCCCAGGGAGGTGGTGGAGTCACCATCCCTGGAAGTCTTTAAAAGACGTTTAGATGTAGAGCTTAGGGATATGGTTTAGTGGGGACTGTTAGTGTTAGGTTAGAGGTTGGACTCGATGATCTTGAGGTCTCTTCCAACCTAGAAACTCTGTGATTCTGTGTGATTCTGACTATCTCCTTGATTTTGGACACAAGTGTCTTCTTTTAGAAACTGGCCCAGCCTGTAAGTGTATGTGTGTATATGCATGTATATTTTTTTTCCTGGAAAATCAGTGCCTTTAAATCATATTTGTTAACAGAGATTAGAGGAGGAAAGGTTGATTTATACTCCAAAAACATTATGGTAAGCTCTGGGAAAGAGGCAGTACAGAAACAGAATGGCAAAGGAAGTGTTTATGAGAGATACTGAAGTTCATGCCTTCCTGAGTCATTAGAGAGAACAGCTGGTATTTCTTGCATTAAGAGAATTTTGGTGAATGGACTGATGAGATTTCTCTGCAGGGTAAAAGCTTCTTTTCTCTTTCTTCAAATTATTTTTGAAAGTTAGGCAAACATACTGAAGTATGTTGTCCTTGAGATTTGATCAGCCTTGTTCAGTAACTCCTGAAATCTACACAGAATTTCAGTGATGGTGGACCAGAAAGGTGTAAAGTTGAGACTGAACTGCAGTGAATAACTTTGGTTGATAAATAATCCCGTGTGTGGAAAAAGAGTGGTGCAAGAAACAGGTCCTCCTTCATCTTCCTCTGTAAAGGGAATCAAGGAATATGTGGGGTTCAAAATTTGATAGATGACTGATACTCTATCCTGTGTAATAGTTTGGAACAGATTTTAGTGCTTTATGTGAAAAACATTTTAACTTTTGGACTGGTCAAGCATGAAGAATAGATCAAATGAGAGAGAAAATTCTAATCCCAGATGTGAAGTGGAAAAGTTAGAAAGTTATTTCTTATGAATTTATTTCCTTTATTTGTAAGAGTGTTGTTACTCCATTCAGTCCCACTGAGAGGAGTGCTGTTTAATAGTCATGCAAACTGTTTCGTTACTTTATCTGTCTCTCATACCCCTTTTCACATGAACCTGAGCTTCTCACATGACTTCCAGGAGACTACTGATGGGAACTGCCCAAGAAGAACTGAGGAGCTCAGCATATCCTCTTAGACCTCTATCAAAACTAAATACATGTACCACTAGGCCAGCAACTGTGCAGACTGAAGTGGAAGCTGCTATTGGTGATATTAAGAATTACTTTTGTCCAGTCCAGAAAGATATGCTGTCCTTTGAAGGTTTAAATGTAGAATATTTACGGATAAAATATTTTTTTCGTAAGAATACTGTGTCAGAGAAAAAGCATGTCATCTCTACAGAGCAAGGGATTAGAAGTCTATATAAAATACTGTATGTCATAGAAAAGAGTATCAGTAAGCAAAGAAGGGGGAAAGATAAGTGTTTTTTTGTTTGTTTGTTTTTTGTTTTTCTCATGGTTCTTACTTTATTTTCTGTTAAGCAAATACAATCTTTTCTGTATCAAAGATGAGAAGCCTAACCTACAAAAAGTTATAAGGAACCCAAAGAACCCAAAGTATGAGTTTACAAAATCATGGAGAATATTTGGGGCAGAAGGGCAAGCCCTCTATTTTTTTGCCAGGAAGACACGTAGTCTTGCCACATTCTGAACAGTATTTTTCTGCAGGCAGTCAGTCATGAGACACAGCACAAAACAAGCTGCTAAGGAAACACAGATTGGCAGTCTATTTACAGTTACTGAGGCTGCAAAGAGTTGTTTTGTGGAGAAGAAACTTAGGGTTCTCCTGAAGAAGTAGACCTTCAAGACACTGCATGGCTTGCCCATTAGACCTAAGACATTTCCAAGTCTCATGATGAAATGGGCATTTTGTCTGGATATGAGAAAGATGAAATGAAGGCAAGGAGGATTCTTAGGTTCTTTCTACATGTATCTCCATTTGATTTTAACTTAGTCCTTCAATTCAGAAAACCAAAATGAACCAACAGCAGCACACAATAGAAGAACCTAGTGTACTAAGCATTGATGCTTCCTCCCCAGCCACATAGTACAAATTCTGTATTTTACACTCACTGCTAAAGACTCCAGGCAATATAATCCCTTAACACTTTCCCATGCTATGTGGAAAGTCATTTTCTACAAAGTGCAAAAACAAGGGATTGGAGGGACAACAAGAAAATATTTTGTTGAGTTGCTCTACTTTCTAGAATGATTAATGGAACTGGATCCTCTTCGAAAATGGTTATCTAAACTCTCCTTGAAAATGGAATTCATAGGCATTATATAACTTCTGCAGAGAACTTGTTTCAGAGCTTTCGTATCCTAGGTGGAAAGTTGAACATGTTTCTTAAACCAAATCAGTCCGGCAACTTCTTGCACTATTGTTGGTGTAGTTATAGGCAGTCTCTTACATGCTGGCATAATGTTCTTTCTCCATAAATCTTCTCTTTCATGTATTATATAAATCCAGTCTATTCAAGTTTTCTTTGAGTCTGTATTTTCCAAATGCTGTATCAGTCTTTTTGACCTGTACTCATACCATGTTGTTTTTGTCATACTTTGGTGTTCAAGACTAGCCATAGTAATCCAACTGAAATTTTCAGATTGCCTGTGGTTAATATAGGATATTCTTGAAATTTGAGATGTCACCTGCCTTTTTTTTTTTTTTCAAGAATATTATGTTATAATATGAAATCTCTGAAATCCTTTCAGACAGGACTTTCCCAAGACTGAGGACTCATTGAGCCAAATGCTCAGCATTGAGACCTTTTGTTTGCAGGTTAAATAGCACTCAGAAAAAGAAGGAATAAGATCTTAGAATGATGTACAACGTTATTACTTCAAAGAAGATGGGCTTAGGGAAATACTTACACCTTCTGATGGCTTCGTTTTTGACCCATTACTCTGAAACAACCACAGGATAATAATCACAGATTTTCTATAGGAGAATTAAAAACATAGATTAACACTTCTGTTGCTGAAACCAAATCACACATTTGCTACACATAAAACCTTGTCGTTGTTTGTTGTATATTTCTACTCTCAGAGCTCTTTGTGTAGGTCAAAGAATAGGACAGTGTAGTGCCAATAAACACTTTCCTGTGAATCACTCTTCCATGCATGCCTATTGTACTGTCTTCTCAAATGTTGATTTTCCAAACGTGTCCCAAAAATATCATATAGCGTAATATTAAAAAATCAAGGAATGTAATTTCTGCACACACACAAACACACACCTTCAGGTTTTCTAGGATTATTCAACGTGGAGAACTACTGATTAAATATTTTCATTATTGTGTTGTATTTTTGAGGTCTGTTTTTTAAAAGGGGACTTTTTCATTGTCCACCAGACTTCATAGTGCTAAAGTCAAAGTGGGATCGATGTGGGACCATATCACTGTAATCAGCAAATGAGTGCCGTAGTTAGTAACGGCGTATTGTCATTGACCATCCTACAGTATAGACGTACATTGTTCTTACCTCAGGGTTTTAAGCCTCCATAACAGGCATTTACATGACTGTGATGTTGTGCCATTTTATACCTTTTATTTAAAACAATAAATTATTTTTTTTAGTTGCAAGACTTTCTTATTTATTGACATCTTTAATTGCAGTTTAAAGATCTATTTTAGGTAAGCATGATTGCCTGTCAGTGATAACAGTTCTCATAACCATAGATACTTTTGTTTATATAGGATGTTCTGTTGCTTAATTTTTCAGGGCTCTTTCTCAGGATGATCAAGATGATAACCATTTAAAAATAGAGGATATAATTCAAATGGTAAGTTCATCTTGAAATTTACACATAAATATTCCTGTAGAAATGTTCCATGTTTGAGTCACTAAAATGTATCACTTCTGTACCTTTACAACTCTGGACAGAAATACTGTTCTTTTATATTAGTGTTGTGGTTTAACCCGGCTGGCAGATAAACACCACACAGCCGTTTGCTCACCCTCCCCCCTCCCTCTCTGGAATGGGGAGAGAAACGGGAAAGTGAAGCCTGTGAGTTGAGATAAAGACAGTTTATTAAGACAGGATAATAATAAAAATAATAATAATAACAACAACAATAATTATGATAATAGTACTACTACTAATAATGTGTACAAAACAAGTGATGCACAATGCAATTGCTCACCACCTGCTGACCGAAACCCAGCCTACCCCTGAGCAGCCGGCCCCCTCCCCCGGCTAGCCACCCCTATATATTGTTCAGCATGACCCCAGATGGTATGGAATACCCCTTTGGCCAGTTGGGGTCAGCTGTCCTGGGTCTGTCCCCTCCCAGCTCTTGCTGCACCCCCAGCCTGCCCGCTGGCAGGACAGAGCAAGGAGCTGAAAAGTCCTTGGCTTGGTGTAAGCACTGCTCTGCAACAATTAAAACATCAGCATGTTCTCTGCACTCTTCTCATCCTAATCCAAAACATAGCACCCTACCAGCTACTAGGAGGAAAATTAACTGTATCCTAACTGAAACCGGGACAATTAGGAATGCATATTTCAGTTTACAGAGTTAGAATCTGGAGCATGTATCAGAGATGAACTGGTCAAAACTTAAGGATTTGATTTTAATCACATGAGGATGAAAAAATGTGGAAAATGTGGATTTATACAAAGTGTGCACCACCTCAGCACCCATCAGAAGCATACTTGGCTATCACTGACAAGAAACATCCTCTAAACTGTAGTCACCATCATCTCATAAGTGCACTGTATTAATACAACAAAGAGTGTGAGCAATGAACTAGGTGCAGAGTGGTTATGTGGAAAGTGACTCAAAATATACAGACTTTAGTTAACCTATGCATACTTACATCTTGTCTGCTTTCCTATCAATTTCCAGGCTGATGTTTACCCTTATGTTGTTAACATTTTTTGCTTAATTCTTATTTCTGTGTATCAAAAATGTTAATTACAATTTTGTGTTAAAAAATGTATATAAAGTTTTTAATACACCGTGCTCTGAAATGCTTTTCAGTACAATGATAGATCATTAAGTGTTTTCCTTATTCTTGTAGTCAGAATGCCCCAAACCAGAGTGCTTTGAGACTTTGTCAGCCATGGAGCTTGCGGAGCAGATAACTCTTCTAGACCACATAGTTTTCAGAAGCATACCCTATGAGTAAGTATTCTCCTGCAATTAACTGAAGTGAGTACATTGGATGAGTTGTTACTGACAGTTTCAGGCACTACACTAGGTCATGGTACTGACATCCAGGCAAAGAGGCTTACAGCAGACCGTTGTCCTTTGGCTGTTTCTATTATTGCTTATTACTTATGATTCTCATATAGTTTGATTTTTTTTTTTTTTTAAGAATGAGTTATTTCAGTCTGTTGCTAAAGAAAAAATCTGTGTTCAAAGGCTCTGGGCTAGTGAAGGGTGAGCATAGTATGGAAGTCCTGAGTCTCTGGAGAGGGAATGTCAGATAAACTTCATTCATACAGTAGTTTACCATTCATATGATCGTGTAAACTGATAAGACCTGTTTCAAATAGGGTCACAAAGCTGAAAATTGAGGTGGAAAAACAGGGAGAGGGCATTAAAATCAACATAAATCTTCTTAATAAGGGTTACAGTTTTGTTTATTAGCATTATTAATAAAATAATTAATAATTAAATGCTGGAATTAATGTAAAGCTATGTAGTTAGCTTCTAAAAAAAAGAGGTATACTTGAAATCCATTTAGGCTACAGTTGCAGACAGAGACTATACTGTTAATTGTTTTTGTTTTTTCTCTTCACTTATTGTCTAGAGAGTTTCTTGGGCAAGGCTGGATGAAACTGGATAAAAATGAGAGAACACCCTATATTATGAAAACTAGTCAACATTTTAATGATGTAAGTACTTAAAAATATGGATTGCCTTCTAGGAACTCTGTTGACACTGTCTGTGACCTCTGGAACAAATATATCTTTCTTACAATGTTCTGTAATTTCTTATCTAGTAGTGACTGAATGCTATGGTCTTTTTGTGATTATCTCTTTATATCAACACATACAAAGCTTTTAATTTTCATTAATTGGTACTTTGAAATTGTTACATTGGAATTTCAATGACTATTTAATAGATTAAATCATTTTAAACTATCCTACATAGATGATATTTTTTTCAGAGAATGAAAATATAACACCAGTTCTGTTTAATGAATGCCCTTTGAGTCTCTGTGTACATTTGTTTTTTACCATATGCCTTGAGTTTGTCTGACTTACCCATCAACATTGTTACTGTTGGGTTGAAAACACACCCCATTGCATTTCTTACCATTCTTCCATATTCTCATTCCCATCCACTGCCCTACAACACTGATCTCAGTCTGTTTTTTTCTGATTTTATTAATAGCCATAAGTTCTGTTGTGCACCAGTTTTATTTTCTGCCTTGTTCATTAAATAATTATGTTTCTAATATGATGATGTTTAAATGTCCTAAATACTTCCTCTTTGTTTGGTCAGATGAGCAACCTTGTTGCTTCCCAAATCATGAATTATGCTGATGTCAGCTCCCGGGCTAACTCAATTGAAAAGTGGGTAGCAGTAGCTGACATTTGTCGATGTATGCACAATTATAATGGCGTATTAGAAATCACATCAGCCTTGAACAGAAGTGCAATCTACAGACTGAAGAAAACTTGGGCTAAAGTATCCAAACAGGTAAGAAAGATCTGATTACAATGACGGTTTCTAGATTTCACTGGTCATTATGTTGTTCATGAAACAATGAACAGAAATAGGATTCTTTCCAAAACTTTTTCTTCCTCAACAATAGTCTTGACTACCTGCTGGAAGCATCAAGTTGTGCTGGTATGTCATGTCATGGTCTTTTGCATTTGATGTATTGCTTTTTGGGTATCATTAGTTAAATATTTGTGAGAACAAACTGATCTCAGTAGAATTAGCAGGTGCTTAAATCTGAGGCTTTAGCCTGAATTACTGAAATATTTGAAAAAAAAAAATTTCTACTTATTGAATTGATACTTAAGGCATATGCATAGGTGTTGACTGGCTATAAACATCATCGGCTCAGGTGCCTAAAACTGGAGTCCTATTTTCCAGCCTGTGCAGGAATTTAGTAGAAAGGGCAGCACTTCTTCTCAAGGTGCTGATTTTTATTGCTACCCAACAAGAAAGGGTAGATAACCAGACCTCCTTCTCATTTAGGTGCTCAAGTTTAGATACAATGAATCTCTCCCTTTAACCCTTGCCTTGCTGCTGAGACTGTCAGCAGTATGGCTGAAACTGTAAGAATGACTGCCAGTAACAAAGAAAAGACAAAATGAGCCAGAATGAAAAGTACCTGGCCTTTTATGTTCTCTGTTTTAAATAGTTGGGAAGACATTTATTGAATTATTTAAATCTCAACTTTCTGCTGTTTGAAAACATACATATTTTAGTGTGGTGCAATAGCGGAGCAATGATGTCAGTAGAACAGAACCAATCACTTGTAATTTTGGCAGTTTTGGATACAGGTTTTTCAAGCCTGTTGGAATATTTAGATCGCCCTTTTCGATCTTGCTAATTGACATACGAGAAGGTGGGCTTTTGTCACTGCATTTCCTTCTCGATATGTTTCCAAAGTTTTTGCAAAGCAATCAAGCAGCCCAAGTAATGACATCCGCTTAGAATACATTCTGATTGTACTGTGTTCTCCAATCAGCTTATTCTCCTATGTTTTATGGCTGGTGCTATTTTCTTTGATATAAAAATATAATAATAATAATAATAATAATAATAATAATAATAATAATAATAATAATAATAATAATAATAATGATGATAATAATAATAATTAATAATACTTTAAATGCAAGGTATTGTATAAGAGTTTACCTCAAAAAAAGTATGTTTAGGATTTGCTTGATTTTTAAAATTGTAAAACAAACAAACAAACAACAAAACCTGATTAATGTTAGGATTATAGAAATTTGCAAGGGACCCACAAGGACTGTCATATCCAACTCTTGGCTCCACACAGGATGACCCAACAATTAGGTCCTATGTCTGACAACTCTGTCCTTTTTGAACTTTTTTGAACTTTTTGAACTCTGACAGGCTTGGTGCCAGGACCACTGCCCTGGGGAGCCTGTTCCAGTGTCTGACCACCCTCTTGGTGAAAAACCTTTTCCCAGTATGTGACCTTATTGCACTCTTCTCCATTGCTTACTGAAAACATTATCTGAATGTTTCATTAGCCTGTTATTGTAGAAAAAAAGAAAGTTTCTGCCTACAGCTTCCTAGTAACTGGAAATTCAGTTCCAAAGATGACAAGTTTCTTAGGATTCTCCATGCTATGTCAAGTCTACACCATAAAAAAGTAATGAAAAGAAAATATATTTTACATATGGAGAAACCAAGCTCTGATGACGTCCACTGAAAATCATTCCTGTAAGACAGTAACATTTTTTCAAATACGCGTTCATTTTTAATCAGAAACTTGGAAGCAAAACCATTTTAGTGCAGGCTGCAAGACAGTACATCCTTTACTGTCCTTAATTTCGGTAAATCCAGCTGAGGAGCCTCAGTAGCGCACCAGATCAAGCCTCTAATATTCTTGTATACAGAGTAAACTGAATTGCTGGCCATTAATTTAATGATCTTGTGTTTCTTGCTGAATTTGCAGGCCAATAATATTAGCATAGATACATATTCTGGTTTCACTTGAAGGAACATCTTTAAGGCTGCCTAATCTCCATTTGCAGAAAATCATTAGGAACTACAGTGAAGCTAAATTCTTAATACCTATATAGTTACTTCTGAAAATGTGGTGAAGGAACTAAGTGAATCAAATCTTTTTAAAAAATCATTTATGTGCAACAGCAATAACATCTGTGATGTGATCTCTTTTTAGGCAAAAGCCCTCATGGACAAGCTTCAGAAGACTGTATCATCTGAAGGAAGATTTAAAAATCTTAGAGAAACACTCAAAAAGTATGTTTACTTACAAAAAGCACTTTTAAAATAAATAGTAGATAATACATCTTAAATATGAACTAGCTTTGATTAAGCTTTAATAATTAATATAATGTTGAGTAATGCTTTTACCTAGTAACCTTTTAAATTCTGTTTTTATTCTATTTGGAGTTTTATTCTGGTTTTGTTTGTTTGTTGTTTTGGTTCTGCTCAATATACTCCAATTTAGCACACTAATAGATAAATACAATGTCTTTAGAGAATTACTTAAAAAAAAACCCACCCTGTTACTCTGTGTGGAATGTTCCCTGTTGGAGTTTTACTTAGTTGGAGTTTACTTCAGTAAGTGTAAACCAGGTTATTATAAAGTTTTCTGTTCAAAAACAAGATTGAAAGGAGTCCTTGTTCCTGATAAGAAGTTTAGGACTGACAAGTAAGCTTTAGTCAAATCAAAGATCCATTCACCCTATTATCTTATCTCTGACAGTGGCCAGATGCTCAGAAAGGAACATAATGCACAATGATATTTGCTATCCTATACCCTCCCAGCCCCTTGTAGTCTGCCACTCTGGAAAAAAAAAATACATTTTTTACAGTAGTCATTGATTCCTTGTGTTTCACCATATGTAGCTTTGGTATCCAAAACATCCTTTGGCAAGGACTCTACAATTTATGCATGTATTGACTCCAACTGCACACGTTAAAAAAAATAAAAATAAAAATAAATATACATAGTTTATAGTTCTATGTACATGTAGTAGAACTACTTTAAATGATAAATTTAAATACATTGTTCAAATTAGTCAGTTTTTAGTGAAAAAAACATTGTTGAGGACTAATCACTTGTTAAAAAAACATTTTCACTCACAATATGAACAAGTACTCCTAAACACCTTTCAGTCAGTATATTGCTTACCCTGTGTGCAGCAGTCACCCTCACAATGTAAAAAATAACCAGATTGAAGTGCTTTGCTAAGCAAAGCCAGCTGTCTGCCTTTAATAGTACAGCCGTGGCCCTGCTTTTTTTCTTACACCAAACCTTCAGAAAAACAGATTTGTAGCTATTTCTGCTGAGGTAAGAATCAGCAGGTATGGAGTAGTGATTATTTCATTAAAGAAGTAACAATGCCTATCACATTAGTCCTGCCCCACTAAGAAAAGCAGCTCCCAATTCTCTAGGGTCTCTATTCCCAGCTTTCCAGATCATCCTGTCTATCTCTCTGTCTTCCTCTTTCCTCTTTGGGTTCACTGTTAGCAAAGCCAGAAAAGACAGAGAATGTTATCTATATCCATATACACATGTATGTATGTCTCCAAACACATGCATGAGCACACTCACATGGACCCTTGCTGGTACTAGAATGCTTATATATGCTGATGCAGAAGAACACTAACCACTCAGAAACATATCCACATGCACTTGTAGCTTGTGTATATGATCTATTTCTGATACTGCCTAACAGCCAAGATTAAAATATGCTTGAACGTGTGCTCAGTGTCCAGACTGTGCCCACCTTTCCTCTTACTCCATCCTTTTTTGTTCTAGATTTTCCTAAAGGCTATCTGCCTTTAATTTAAATTTAATATTTGACGCAATCAATTCAATTTGCCACACTCAGAGCAAATATAAATCAAGTGATGTCAATTTTTTGTGGTCCATTGTTTAAAAGTTCTTTAAATAATAAATTTTGTGTGAGCTATAAAAATACAAGTTTGTAAATTTAGTTGTATATAGATATGCTGATTTATTGTTTTACAGTTGTAACCCACCTGCTGTTCCCTACCTTGGAATGTACTTGACAGATCTAGCATTTATTGAAGAAGGAACACCAAACTTCACTGAGGAAGGCCTCGTCAATTTTTCCAAAATGAGAATGGTAATTTTAATTCCCTTACATGCTTTCCCAACAGATGTTTAATTACAAATTGATTATTGATTTGATTATAACTGCTTAGAATTTCACCAGGTCTTAAAAGTGTGTTTGAATCGTGCATGATAGATAGCTATTTGAAAGCAATTACTTGACCCAGTCTTCTATCACCACCTTCTGGTAAACTGAGGATTTTTACAGTGTGAATTTGCCTCCAGTTTGTTCTTTGAGAAGTCACAGATAGAAAAAGCAGATGCCTTAAGCTTATGAAGAAGCAAGAAAAGATGTCTTGAAATAATCAAATGAAAGGAATGTAGTTATTCATCAGAAAGCAGTCAGTGCTCACAATCTTTCTTCAAGTGTGCTAGGATCTATTTTTTAAGAAGTACTTCAAAGTTGATTCTCTCCAACTATCATAAAATGGTGCTTTATAAAACCCCTCAGAGAGAAGCGTGGAAACTTCTCTTTTTAACCTCAGCTGTATGTTCTCATAATGATTACACACTGCAGCAGTCACTCCAGGCAAAGATAAAAGAGATTATCAGTATATGGAGAAGAGAGAGAAAATAGACAAGGTGGTTCACTTGAAACTGACTTAACAATAAATGGCTTATTTAAGATTTTTTAAGATGGAATCCATTAGCTGGTGATTTCTGCCCTTCACTTACGTGCTCCCAAAATGAGTTGCATAATTTGGCAAAAAAATCTTCAGTGCCCAACTGAAATCAAAACGCAGTTGTAATTATAATATATTTGTATTCTTTTGAAAGATCTCGCATATTATCAGGGAGATACGCCAATTCCAGCAGACCTCCTACCGCATAGAGCATCAGCAGAAGGTAAGGCTCTTCTTAGGTACTTTTACCTACCATTGAAATGAATGCTGTTCTGGTAGTTGGTTCTAAGAGACAGCTGTTGTTGAAAGTTGAAAGCTGAAACGAATGTATTCTGCTGTGACACACAGAGAGCACAGACAGAAATATGGACACGTAATCTGTGATTTTAAAACCCTCTTTCCTTAATGCTGTATATAGAAGCGATTTCCTTATTCTCTGGAAACTCTCTTGGGATTGCAGCCAGCATGGTTTTGGGGTGTGGAGGAATGGGTTGAAAGGGAAATGTGATCTCCCAGTCCAGCTGGAGCATAATTCCCAATGGAATCCCAGAATACTCGGATTAGGGGTTAGGAGATGGCCCAAGCATCCTGTGTGCATCCTGCAATTCTTTTTCCCTTGTCCCTTGGGGGACCTATGAAAATTTGTCCAAAGCCAGCCTGTGTCTTCAAAGAAAGACTCTTTACATCTCAGACTCCAGAAAAACAACGTGGGCCTAGGAAGCATTCCTAAGAAACTGAATTTGATTCCTAGAGCACTGTTGGTACAGCTTTACACCATTCACATGATCTGTTGTGTTTCTCTGAGAAAACATGAGAGGATCTCAGGCTCTGAAATGGGCTGAAGGGGAAAAGGAAAGGAAAGCAGAGACATTTTCATGACAATAAAAACAATCTGTTCAGCTGTGTCTTCTGCATTCCAGGTCACTCACTATTTACTTGACAAGACACTCATCATAGATGAAGATACTTTGTATGAGCTTTCCCTAAAGCTTGAACCCAGACTCCCTGCCTGAAGATCCAGCTTTGCCTCAGAGTCTACAGAAAGCTTTAGTACAATGAAAAAAATTATGCATGCCAAATCCTAAAGACAGCAAGGGAAATATTGAGAAGAATGCAAGCTCTCTTTTCCAGTAAGAGATACCGAACCTCACAGCATTTCCCTCTCAGGCAACAAAAATTTACTCTTGGACATGGAAGACAAGGATGCTTCATATCTGCATTAAGTGATTGCTACTTTGCAAATATAATGTTTTGCAATAGGGACTGTGCATTTAGTTAATGAGGCTTTCTTGTGAACTCACTGTACTCACTGTAGCCATCTTAATGTGACAGATCAAGGAGACAGATCTAAATGATGGTAATATACCCAGTTGAGATACATGAGCAAAAGGAAATGGTTCTGATGTGGTCTAGGTGGATGGCTAACTATGCGTTCACTGAGGCAGCAATGGTACTGCCATATGGTGTCCTCATATGATGTTAAATTTATTGAAAATCAGGATCTTAACAGTCATCAATGAGCCTGCAGTGACATCAAGGTAGCATCTAGTATTTCTCTCCAGATTTACATTTCTAAAAGTTTATTCAATGCTACCCTTTATAGAATGTTACCTTCTTTAAATGTCTTACCGGCCTTTTCTAAGGTGACTGATTTTACACATAAATAAACTGTAAATATTTTTTCATTAATACTCAATGAGAGTATTTACAGCATGAAAAATAAAATAGCTAGATGAATAGTTGTACGCAGTTGTCAGCCTTGCAAGCTTCAGGTGGGAAGTACATGGTTAGGAGCTATACCTAAGACTTGACATCCAGTGAATAGGATGGCTAGTTGAGTTGCAACACAGTCCTGAAAAGGCACTTCATTTTTCTGCACCTCCTGCAGATTCCCTGACAAGACAGGCAACAGAGCACTTTCTGGACACACTGTGGAGAGAACTATGTGTCTGGTCTGGCAACGGGTAGTGATCAGCAATGACCACTAGGAGTTAGAATGAATGTTTTGTTTTACATGAAATCAGTGATTTTTTTTTTTTTTTTCCTTTCTTTTTTTTTTTTTTCAGTCATTCAGTGCTGACTCAGCTCTAAAATCAGTGGCAAACTTGGAATGCCAGCAAATACACACTATACATTTTCATTTGAACTAGTGATTATCATTTGCATATGGGCATATGTTTAAAGAAAATGTGCTAATTGTTACTGTTTCTAAGACCTATGCTTTGTGACTTACCAGTAGATAGATTTAATTTCTACAGCTAGTTGGTACTTCTTAAATTTTTCTGATCATAAGTGGCCTGTTGTAGCTGCATGGCAAGTGAGCTCAAATGCATGCTGTAAAGTACACCATAATATAAATGCAGATACTAGCACTGTTGAATAACTTGGCTGGAATAGTGTCCTTACTTTTCCAATGATATTCAGCCAGTTGAAGAAATAGGGCTATATCACTGTATACCTCCCTTAAATTCTCTCAGGGAGACAGAAGTTTAAAATAGATTGTGACCTAGGCCTATTTGATCTGACATTTTTTACCACAGTCATGATGCTTCTGAAAGCTGGCAATGAAAAACAGATCTGCCTGGCTTGTGGGTTTTGTCTTTATTTGCACTTTAATCATATTGTTAGCCCAGCCGAGAGCTGCACAATAAATTCCATTCGTTCTCAGTGTAACTGCTAGCACTTATAAATGTACTTTAGCAACTGTACATTTCATTAAGGTTCTTCACCACAAGGACCATCTCTTTGTAAATAACTGCATGAATAAGCACCACAAATACTGGAAAATTCCTTAATTAGAAAAGCAGACAGCAACAAAAAAGGAAATTCCAGAAACATTTTAAATACTTCTGATGAATGACTGCTGTAGAAATAAACACAGAAAACGTATGGAAGCTTTTTATTATCAAAAATGTGCTTGTTCTTTCATTAATGAGTGATAGCAAGCTGATTGCATCCCAGTGCATGATATGAAAGAAAAGCATGGTTTATTTGGACCACAAAACCAACATATTATGTATTTTCTGTTCAAAAAAAAACACAACACAAACAAACATATATTATATGTCAGTTTCATAAAAGACTTCAAAGTCATGAAAATATGGGAGAAACGTGGTCCAAAAAGTGATTTCTTAACTTGGTTTTATTGTTTCTCTGTTAACACAGAAAATGTGTAACAACTGTCAATGTCAATCGGGATCTCTGTTGTATGCTATTAACTGCTGCTTTATCTTCTTGTATCCTGCTCTACCAAACTTCATTGATGTTTTTAGGTTTACAGGGTATAGTTCTTCATTTTACTCTGTTCATGGTTTGTTAATTTTTACTTTTTGTACATATATCAGTTCTTCAGAGTTTAAGAGCATTTAATATGTTTTAATGCTTGCAATACAAAGGGGTGGTGCTGTGCTAGTGCTACAGTACTCCAAATGGACATATGCTAAGGTGAAGGAATAGAGATTTATTTTTTTTCAAAGGTGCTGAGCATCCTTATATTTAAATCAGTAGTCAATGTGTTCAGCTCCTCTGGAAAAGCATATACTATTTATATGCCAAACATTACCTCTTGGGTCAGTGGTGGACTTTAGATTAGAATCACTGGAGTGACTAAGGACTGGATATGTGTTCAGAACGATAACAAAAAAGGTTATTGTCACAGCAATGTTTGATTTGCTGAGAAGCAATGTATAAATATTTTTTGTACATGGATACATTGTGTTCCTTAAAATACAGGAACTGAGCATACATTTGTCATCCATAATCCTAGCTTGTGTTCGCAACCCTACATCAAAGCTGGAAAGAACTTTTGTGCAGAAATCCTACACAGTAAGTGTAGAAAAGTGTGTTTGCCCCCCACACTCAGGTTGTGTAATTCAAGTGTGAGTGGACTGAGTGCTTCTGCTACAGTATTCCTGCAGTGTTTGAGTTATGGCAATAGCTAGTAAACAGCACCAACCTGCTTTGCGTGAGGCTTCGCCTAGTATATCTATGTAACCAGCTAGTGCAGTGGTCTCCCTGAACTGTGCACAGGGATTGTGGAGCTCCTCGCTACCAGCTTCTCTGTGCCAATCCACCACAGCCAGATAATGTAGTATATCGAGATACAAATCCCAGTCATCAGACATCCACTGTTTGCCACTGGTGTTTAAGAGAGGATGTTTCCAAGTGAGGACTTTGACATTAGGATCTTGCTGTCTTTTAGGATCTTGTCCTTTATAGCTTTTATGCCATGGAAGCAGAGTGGACTTACTTTTCTGGAACTGGAGCTAAACGAGCCTGTCTGATTCAGGATTTGGAAGAAAGGGAAGGGCTGAAGCACCTCTCTACTTGCCTTTCTTAGCTCCTCAGCCCTGCTGCACTGGTGAGATGCAACAGCAGTTCTTATGTTGGAGGGGCTGCTCCCTTCAGCACTCTCTGGATAAAATATGCCTCAGGGTGTATGGACTGGCTGCAAAGGGGATAGCATATTTCACCCACTGGTTCAGCAGTGGGCACATTTGTCAGCAAAGTCCAGGGGAGTTCCGCAGTATTTTTACTGCATAAGTAGCAGCCCGGATTCAGCCTGCAGTTAGCTGGGAACCTGGGCAGCAGCACAGGCACTTCCCCTTTCATGTGACTCCAAGCACGTGTCACACACTGATAGGGGTTAGAGTTGCCTTCATCCTAGCCTTCACTCCCTCCCTCTCCTGCCCCAGTGAATTCACCGGTATTGTTCATGGCACTCCACATCAGTTAGTGGATGGAGACCATGCTTAGTCATCGTGTGGAAGAAAAATAAATCTGTTGAATTTACAGTTGCAGTAAGTGTGTATTCTGTCTGTTTCAGCTAGTCCTGTGACACACAATCGTGTAGCTTAATAGCAAGAGATTCGACCGGGACTGATTACTCTCGTCTAAGAGTAAGAAAGAGATCTCCGTCCTCTTTCTGCTTTCCTACTTCGTAATACTGGTTGTTGTTCTGTAGGGTAAAAAGGAATTTAACTCTCTATTTAAAGTATTTATTAACTTTAATCATGTTGATTTTGACTTCAGGACATATTCATTTTCCCAAATTTTCCTTAATTACCATTATTTATTTTAAAGTTTTTAAAAACATTGTTTTATCTGTATGGATATTCAGTCTTTCCTCCTTTCACTTTTATTAACAACATTAAACATAGATATATGATTTTAAATTCTCGTTTATAGAGACATTTTTACCCACTCATAATTGTTATTCATTAAGGGCAAAATCCTTCAGACCTCATTCTGATAATACCTTAGGCTTCACTGAGAGCTTTTCATAAGTAAGTATTTGGGGATCCGGCTCTCAGCTATTTGCCTGTTACAGTTTTTGCCTCCAAAGGTCAAATGTCTCTGTGTAGGATGCTTTATGTCCAATATGCTACTCACCTATGGTGGTTTTGTTGTATCTTTACTTTTGGAATTGTCTCTGAAATTTTGTTCTTTAGGTGAATAGATGTATGTTTATTTGACAGATGTACCTATATCTAACACCTTGCTTGGTGCACATCCAGACGTTTTTGCATGTATTGTAACTTATCTTTTATCTGAGGTTATTGCTTTGTATTGTTAGAAAGGCATATCAGGCAGGATGTTGTGCCTATATGCTAATTAAAAATTCTTTTTTTCCTGAATTTCAAGTGTTCTTACTGGTTTCTCTTTGTTTTGTTACCCACCAGTGGTGAAAAAATGGGATCTTAAACCCACTCCATCTGAATTCTGGGTCTTCTAGGCAAACATGGGAGGGAAGGGGCAAGCCATTAATAAGAAGGACAAATCAGATAAAATTTTGAGTGTTTTTATTGTGAGAGAAGGGTCTGACTTACTGCTTTTTATTCTTTGCTTGTTTATGCTGCATTGGAAATGCTGTGGGCATCATTGGGATTAAAGCTGATTGTAACTTGGAACAGAGAACGAAACCAATTTCATACAGACCTACATGTGCTGATCCATTGTGGTGTGTACATTATAAATAACTAAATAAGAACATGTAGCAGATTAAACAGAACCAGCTGCACAACTCATTCTTCTTAGCTGAGGAGAGCCTCCATGTTTCCACACCTTTGTTCCCTTTATGCTCTGATAGGTAATTGCAGGTATGTGGAGTTTAAATACTGCATCAGAAGGTGTTTAGTGACTTCCTATTTCAGTAGAATGTTTCTTTAAACAAGAGGCAATGAATTATGTAGAGAGAAAATAACTTTGTCCCTACCTTCTTTCTTTTGTTGCTTTGTTGTTGAGCTTTTGCCTAAATATCCCTAGGCCTTCTCTTGGCTGGTGTGCTGATCTGGATTTCAAGAAATAGAATAGGCATGTATTCAACACAAGTAAACAGAAAACATTTTAGGTTTGTAAGTAGTGTATGTCCCTCCTCTTGCGACAGGAAAATAAATAACACAAAGCAACTTGTACATTGAAGAAAAATAGCTAATAGTGCTTAAGATTACAAAAGCAGATCTCCAGCTTGTTATATGCTTTAACCACTGTTTACTGCTTTCCTTTGTTCAATTGACTTCTTTCTTTAAGGGCATAGAAAAACGTCTGTTAAATCTGTTTCAGGAAATAACATATTTGAAGTAAATAAACAGTGTACATCAAGTCTGTGTGAGATGAAGTTAAAGCAAGTGGTGTATTAAAATCAGAACCTATTCAGTATTCTGTGACCTTGCAATCACATTTTCTGCAATCTTACATTTTCAGTGTTTCATATGAGAACAGACTTTGCTATACCTTTCTAGGTGCTGGGTATGTTTCATATAAATCAAAATGAATAACTGTTCCAGCCACAAAGAAGTCACAAAATCTTACCAGCGCTTCTTATTCTGTTCTAAATCTATAAAATTTATTTATTCCAGTTAGTTTGCTGTTGAAATTTTATCTCTAATGGGAAAGTCATCTGAAAAAGAGCACTGTTCTTCCATAACCATGTCTGCTGAAGTTTCCATGACAAAAAAAGCTGAGTCAATGTGACAGAAAGAGGAAAGGTACCAGAATTTACCATGCCTGAGTATGCTTGTTGACTGTGCTTCTCTAGTTATTACTCTAGAATTCCCTCATAATCACAATATCACAGCTGATTATTTTTTTCATTTTGGTATTGGTAATTGCCATATTTGGTAATTTTAAACTAAGTGCAGCATTTTTCCATCCTATTTTATGAGGGGAGTAAGAATACCACCTGTGGCAATGCTAATATTACAGATTCAAATCCATAGTTAAGGTGTGTTTTGAGGTGAAAGCAATGGCCTGTTGGATTACGAGCCTCCATCACCAGCAGCTGCTGACCCTGCAGGAGAGAGACATTGACAGAGTGAATGTCATTCTCTGCCTTGGAGAGGAGAGGATGCCAAAGTTTCCTCTTGCAAAGCAGTGCTATTTGCTTGTACTCAACAATTCCTGTTGAGAGAGAAAAAATAAAAAAGCATTTCAGTGAGATACAAAATGTTGAGACGTCTGACATGAAATTGCTGCCCTTTTCACACATGTGAAGTTGTCTAGTGTGGACTAGACAATTCCTACCTCCACTCTTGCTGCTCTGGTTAAAACTTATGCATTGCAATACTGTGCAAAGCAGTCTGTAGCAAAAAATAGCATGATCACTTTTTGGACAATCATGAAGGCCATATGATTCTCTTGTAAGGATTATGGGTATTTCTGCTTTCCCATCAGGTCAACCCCATTTTTAGAAAAGTCCTTTCTCTTCACTTTGTCCAGAAAACACACAGCTAATTATAGAGAACCTTTCCTATAGTATGTGGTGGATGTCCTGTGAAGAGCAGCGTTAATAACTTAAAATAACTAGGGTTATTTTTAACAGGTTGGTTGGATGGTTGGATCCAGTTCAGATTTTTATTTAGTAGACGTGTATTAGCACTTAAAAGTAAGTGGAGTAACCACTACTGTAGGAGGACTGTTCAGTGCCTACTTGTGCACCTGGTCAATGGAAAATTTTTGACCACGCTTAGCACCAAGTACTTGCTTCAATTCCAGCAACTGCAGTGGGGTGTAAGTGGTTAATTGCAACCTCAAAACAGAATGTTTTTGTGGTCTGAGATCTTGCTAACTGCTTACAATCCCTTTAAGTGGATATTGAACATCCACAGTTACAAGGAAATCTCAGTAAGAGGTCTGGCAACCATTTGGTAAACAAAGATACTTCTTCCCAAGGGGGTATGCTTCACTGCATTGTTATATGACTGTCTTCAGGAATCTGAAAAATTAAGGACCTTCTGAACGTGAAGACCAGTGAATTTCATTGCATCTGGGGCAAGCTGACCGTTAGCTTTTGGAGACAGGGGGTGGCTCTTAGCAGCTGTATGATACCAGAGCTCCAACTCCGGCCACAGGAGAGCTAATAATAAGCGTCCTTGCAAGCTCTTCATAACAAACTTGCCATCCTCTGATTCCTAATTTGGTAATTTGGTATATGTAATAAGTAACACTAACTAGCCTTACACTTTCTGTCATGATTCCTTTGATAACTAATAACTTATTGCCCTCATATGGAAATTTGATTTTATAGAAATTATCTTTGAAAGAAATACATTAACCAGGAAGGCCTTCCCATAAAATAAAATGACCCTATTTGCGGTCTGTGTAGGTAGCTTCTCCACTCAATAGCTTCCTTAAAAGACTCTAATGGGACACACATTGCAGCTGAATTTCAGCTGAACTCCCTGCACAGGGACAGATGGCATTAATATGAATAGCAATTGAATTAACACTCAGCTACTGCTACCTCCCCAGCACAAGCTCTGAAACCAAGACAGCATTTTAATTGGGAGATTTCACATAAATATTTAGGTTAGATAGATGAAAATAGAGCATTATTTATGGATGGTTCTTCTCATTCCAAGTGTTTCTGTAACTGAGTTCCTTGGAAAACAGCTCAAAGAACTGTAAGACCAAGCTATTTCTCAAGTACTAAATGGTGCATTCTCCAGAAATCATAAGGGAACTCGCTAACACTGTTTGCCAGGTGCTCGTGATGTTAGTTAGCAGGCTGAGTGAGTTTTGTTCTTCCAGGCTCTGATCTAGCAAATGGCTTAAACATCTGAGTATGTCAACAAGGCACTTAAGTTCACGGTATCAACAGCTTTGAGGGGAAGCTCTTTGTGTCTCCAAGGGCTTTATGAGGAAAGGCTGTCTTCAGTCAAAAATTTACGAATGAAGTGAGAGCCTCAGTCATGAGCTGCTGCGCTGCAATCTGTTGGTGCAGGGGCTGCATGACAGGCAGAGCCACGGCAGCCTGGAAAGAAGTGTTAGCATGCAAAGCTCTGTGTTGGGTGCAGGCTGGGGGGCTTGCCACCAGAAAAAAGACACAGTGCAGGCGTGAAGGTGCTCCTGCTAAGTACAGAAGAAAAAGATGATTTCTGTTTTCCTAACCAAGGAAACCATTCCTGCACAGGGCTGGTTTTGTTGTGCTTGTGTTTCTATGCTCATGTTACCTCAAGAAGTCCACCACCGGATTTTTTATTTTTTTTTTTGCTATTGATACCAGAAATGTAGTGCTGGTTTGATAGAAAGCAGGTGTGCTAAAGAGGGGGTGCTTCAAATACTAGGTAGTCCAAACGCATTGATCTAGGGTGGCTGTTTTGGTTTTAATTATGGTGGGTATGCATGGTTCTCATTAATCTAAATGAGTCATGACATTTTGGGGGGACAATGTCTATATATTATAAAGTTTCACAAATGTGTGATTTGGGTTTAAGAAATTGCCGTGTACAATTCAAGAAATACTAAGCATGCAAAGGAAAACATGTTTTGAAGTCTTGAACTTTTTTAAAAGCTGCTTGGT